TTATATAAAGTATTGTCTAGAATTATTTTGGGGGGCGGAGTTCCTTAACCAGGAATGTAATCTCCTGCTTTCCTGTCAAAAGAAGTGGAAACTTGTTTGAATGAATTCAGCTAAGCATAACATATCTATGCGATATCTAGACTAAGCATGGCTAAGCAGTGAGACAGAGAAATTAGCGCTTATTTCACCTGATTCCCCAATTTTTATTGACATAAGTAATTTATTTTACTCAGGTTTTTTTGGGGGGGTTACTTGATAAGATTCTTGTAGCCACAACCACGGAATATGAAACTCGAGAGTTACGCCACACACCAGATCAACACCTAGTTTTATCAAGGCCAATTACACAACAGAAAAAGGAGCTTTGTTGGTGGGTGAAGTTTAATGATCAGTGTCAAATGCAGTAATTCAGCAAAGATCCTCAAAATGTGGAATCCCATGTTGCATCTAGCTGAATGTAACAAATAATTCAGATACCCTTCCATCAGTACAGCGGCAACAGAGAGGTCATTGTTCTTTCACTCCAATTATAATACACTTCAGCAGAGTCTTTCATAGCTTTTCAGTATCACACAATGTCTGACAGCCGATTAGACTCCACTCCTAATGAACTGGTTCATTCTCAAGGAGTAATTGTATGATTTTCTTGACAGAAAATCTACTTTTTAACTTGGAGAGCTTAATTACGCAATGAGATACAGGCACAGGTTTCTCTCTGTTTCTTTATTGCATAGTTGTACATGAATGTAACAGTTTAAAATCCAGCAGCTATAAGTTGCTTTACATCAGGTAAAAACTGAGGAAAAAGGCCTGTATCCTAGGAAAACAAAAGGCATTCCCTGTTACGTAAGTTGTCTGCAAAGACAAATATTTTAGTAAATTATGATTAGGCAGTTAACATACATTAAAATACACAATGTAGTAACTACCCCAAAAACAAGATGCACAAGCAAAAAAGCAAAGATGTGCCAAGAAATACAAGTTAAGACATTCAAAATTAAGGTATTCAAATTTTAAAGCTAATACTAGCGACTATGAAGTTGAGCAGAAAAAGGCACCCTTCCTCAAAAGTAAGCACGTAGAATTCCAATACTCTAAAACCCTGTAGATTTTTGTGAGATCAAAGCAATCTCTCTTTCTATAGCTTTCCAAGCCAGAAGATACGCTCCTGTCAGACTTGTGGTAAAAATACCAATGCAAGCCATTCGTGACAGAAGACAACAAAAGACTGGTCAGGTACACGCCGTGGCGTACACCTGAAGTGCGCTGGTGTGAGAGTTCTGGAATGTAGGAATATGGATCAAACATTCAAATGCCAAATGAAGTCGTTCCAACCATGAAGTCACCAAGAGACTTCTGGTAAGAGTGATATTTAACAGGAATACTGAAAGGCAGTTGGAAGTCCGATCAACACAGATGCAGATCTATGCTCAAAAACCTTCCACTTCCATTTCAAA